TCTGATACAGATTTGATTGGATTCATACATTCCATTATCGTACCTTTATTAAAATAGAGTATTCTGATCCAGATTGGATTGGATTCATACATTCCATTATCGTACCTTTATTAAAATAAAGTATTCTGATCCAGATTTGATTGGATTCATAGATTCCATTATCGTACCTTTATTAAAATAGAGTATTCTGATCAGATTGAATTGGATTCATACATTCCATTATCGTACCTTTATTAAAATACAGTATTCTGATACAGATTTGATTGGATTCATACATTCCATTATCGTACCTTTATATGATATATATACATTTTTTTACAGTGTCTGTTGGTAATGGTTACTTCTTCCATAAATTACTCTTTCGACGTGAGAGACAACTTTAAAAAAAACCCTCTCGTTCACAAATAGTAAAATATGCCCACTTAACAATAATCTTTTGTATTTTCTATGCAATAATTAATCTAATTTTTATTTTATAGATTTTTGGCAAAACTTACAAAATCACCACTCGGTAGTTCAGCGGTAAGTTTGAGGGTTTTCAACGCTAAAAATTGGGCTCTGATACTCGCTGATGGAAGAGTATAGATAGAACGTATTGTAGCACTGTGCTTAACAACAAACAAACAGTTTGTAAAATTAGATCAATTATTCATTCAAAATTTAATATTCCACAAAATTTCTACTTTTATTATGTGGTTATTAAAACGGGAATATTTAATTAATTGGGTTATTAATTGGGTAATAAAGTCTTAATTATTATTATTATAATTTTAGAGCAAAGCTACACAGTTGGATATTTGTGCTCTTGTCCAGGAGAATTGAACTCCGAATTTTAGCATTGTAAGTTCAGAAACTTACCATTGACCCACTAGTGGGCGTACTCCGAAATAAATTCATTATCAAACAACCGCTCAGACTTCTTGAACAAGAATTAATCACAAATATTTTTTCCCACTGGCATTACCTTTAAAAATTCAAAATAAAATGTATATATATATATCAGTATATTAATCCTATTGTTCAATATGTATCAGTAATCATGCTATTCATTAACCCTTATCTAATCAGTATCATCATTATTTCTTACCAACGACCACTAACACCTTTGTATGCAATAAGTTTCAGGTTATTAAACTTTAATTAATCCAGACAAGATTATGTTTAATTTCAGTTAACCTAAGGTTAATTAATCCAGAATGGAGAACAAATGGGCCATTAAGTCTTAGCTAATTAGTATTTTGAATAATTTAAACCTCCAGCTGATTAATGTGTTAATCAATCAAAATGAGAGAACACGTCGTTTACTGATCTTTAGCTAATTGGTTTGTTACACTTCACGGTCCAGTGACGTCCTAAAGAACCTTCGTCTGATTGAAATGTTCACACTTGTAGCACAGGGTTTGGTCTGTTGGTTTTGAATTTCGCACAGAGCTACACGAGGGCTATATCCTCTATCCTTCCCTAGTTAGCCAGTGAAGGTAGCTAGTCGACACCACCCACTGCCAACTCTTGGGCTGCTCTTTTACCAACGAATAGTGGGATTAACTGTCATATTATATCGCCCCCACGACTTCAATATAAGTGAAATCTTGACCTTTCCACGCTAGATGGCGTGTTAGGTGATCTGGTGACCTTTTTAAATCATGCTTCATCTGTTAGGATATTGATACACCTAAGTCTGATGACGTGTTGCTCCGTAAAATTCAATTAGTTCAAATTTTCCAACGACACGTACGTGAGTTGTTTTAATCTAAAGGCTGTTTTGACTTTAAAAGTCGAAAAACACAACCAACAGTAATCTCCAGTGAACTGAAATTTAATGTTTCCAAGCCACCAAAACGCGTTTAAGTCAAATCTCACACTTACCATGTGACGGAATAGATTACCCACTTTCTCCAGACACGTTTAATTCAAAGTACCTTATGTTCAGTGGCTTTTGTGTAACTGAGATCTCTACTTTTCTAGGCCAGGGAACAAGCTGACCACTATGAGAACATTTGTACCACTAGTCGAGCGGTCAACAGTAAAGCTGATTTGGCTAATTTCATCAGAACTTTAACTCCAGATAAAGCACCTCCTCCAGTTACCCATCACCCGTTTACCCAACCTATTATAGAAAATGAGTCTCTTCAAATGGTAAGTCACTTTTACATATACATCTATTGTCTATATGCTAGTTGTAAAATACTGCAGGTTTTAGAAAAAGGCTACAAAACATGATAAAATAAGGTAAATACCGTATGTAAATACACGTTCACGCAATATTAAACAATATTAAGCATTCTCTGTATGTGTAAATAAAGCAAGAAATCTCGGCGTCAGTGTTTTGTTTTCTTCACATTGCTAATAATAGATATACTCTATAATAAAACAGTTTTGTATATGCCAGTCAGCAAACTAATGACAACCACAGCCGATATAAAGTCGCTGTGGAACGGCATGTATCAGAACTACATTTTGACTTTGTTTGGCGTTACGTAGATAGTGATGCTGTCGGAAAATGATCACTTTTGAGAAGGAATCGTAACAGATTCTTTCGACACAAATTGTTAATTCACTCGTATCATGAAGATGTATTCAGATTGGGGATATAAAATGTCCAAGACAAGAACATCTCTTACACTTAATGATATTAGAAAACAAAGGAATATGGATTAACGTCTGGACCCAGGTCCATCCAGAAATACACCATAAAAACAGACGTACCACAGTTGTGGTAAACAATGTGCTGCGTCTTGTAACAGATAAACATTGACGAATACAAGCAAAGGTCAGTGATAAAAGCTATCTATGTGCCCCAGGCAACAGTGCTCAACACAATGAAGAAGAATCTCTGACTGAAAACAATGTTAACGCGGTATGGGTTTCCAACCATACCTCGAGTTCAACAGTCGCATACCTCAAGCAGCTGGAGAAGTCAAGTCGCAAGACGTTTCTGTGTGAATGCACTGTTGAAACGAACACTGGAAACCCGTTGTTCTCGTACAATAGATTGTTCGATTTGGTCAAGGCAGCCAGCCATACGAGAGAACCTTTTGCAATGTAAACTACGCTGTATGGCTATTGTAAAGAATTACGGTCGTCAGATGGAACATGACCGGACGTAGCGAAATGGATTGTAAGGACATAAAGAAGGTCCAAAATCGTTTTAATATAACCCTCTGTGATTGCACTAAACCACTACAATCTCAGGAAGTTGAGGTTTTCTCTGTACGGTTTTAGCTTTAGATCATCTTGCCTAGTTTACGAGAACAAAAACAATTGAACTTCAGCTTTTGAATTATTAGAAATACGTCGTGTCGACATGATTTTTTTTAAATAATCTTCATTCATGAATGAAATTTTTGATGGATTTTTTAGTGGTTTTCTTGTTTCCTCCAAACCATTAGAACCTAAAATAACGAATGCATGTGACGTTTAACTTAAAGTGTTACTATAAAAATTAATCTTATTGAACCATTGCATAATAAAATAAGATATTGTGGAGTATGTCCAAAATCTTAACCTACATTTCTGTATCTATTTGTTTATTCTACAATTTTCCCATGTATATTGAATGATCCTAGGAGATTATAAACCAATTAAACTGAACCCAAAGGCTTTTCGTTGGTGTTATATTTCCTTATCCCCCGGTGGGGATATTCGATACCTCACTAGTGTGAAGGCTTGGTTTGGTCTGATATTTCATTGGTGGTAGTGTCCAGGGTCACTGATAAGGAGTGAAATTCTCCGAAACTAGTCTGTCTCACAGACACACACCCCAATGAAAGAATAGACCATTCCAAACTTTAACTTGTTGTTAAACAAATGTTTAAACAACTTTATCTATTCAATTGTGTACAGCTGCCCAGTGTCAGGTAACAATACAAAGAATTAAATTGTGGCGGAATGTTACAAGTTCTTCAAATACCTATAGAATGATAGGTTTCTTTTTTGTGAGTGTAAAACACGTAAATACATCATTTCGATTTTATCATTATTGTTTACTAACTTTTGTTTACTATCCGTCATCCTCAATGCTCATGTATTCTGAATGACTCAAGTTATTCACAGAACCTTTAAAAAATAAACATACCTCCAGTTACAAAGTGCTAATTTCATGCATTCTAAAATAACGTAAAAGATATCCCAAAGCAATCTTTATTATGTATTTTAGGCCTATTAGACACGTAATTTATCTCTCAATTTGAATATAGACGTAAAACTCTATGAATATGAGCAATGACAAACACAATTAAACTATATATATAACTAGCTTCTAAACTACGAATAACGGCATATCGTTTTGTTATTTTGTAGAATTGTATTTTATTATTTTACATTCTTTAAAATGTATTAGTTTTGTAGGTATCTATTTTTATATTGTTTACATATACCGAAAAATGTGTATGTAGATAAAAAGTTTTATTTAAAAACACTGAGTTTGTAACTGGCAAAAACGGCATCTTTAACGGTGGAATTAATAATAAAGAATACACGAGAGATGATATTATGTTATCCATTGGAAAGGGCGTTATGGTTGATTGTGATAGTGACGTGGGATTAATATACAAAATTATATCATAATGCATGCGTTTATTTTTACCATGTAATGTTATGTAGGCTAAACTTCTATATATAATACAATTGGTGCAATAGTTTAATAGATTATGGTTATAAAAGCAGGTAACTAAACAAACTTACAAACTTTTTGATAATTTGTAATACATATTTTAAGGCCTCATAGTACACCACATATGGCATGGTTTCTAGATTTATTTCAAAGTTGTAAGTGTTTTAGTAAAATTGTATATTTCTAATAATGTATACTTGTGTTCTCATTGCCCAAAGGTTTAAGAATACGCTACTTGTGCATTGAGAAAGGTGTAGTCTGTACATGATACAGGAACACACTCATTAATGTTTAACCGCAGATGGCATAATATCTCTTTTAACAACTTAAACTGTGAGCCCCAACGTGCATAGTTTCTGTTATTTATTTGTGGTTATTACCGTTCAAATTTAGTTGACCAACACGTTCGAGATATAATAGCAGCTGGTCTTATAGAACAGAGACAGATGGAGGAATTGATATAATACCAGCTGATCTTATAGAACAGAGACAGATGGAGAAATTGATATAATAACAGCTGATCTTATAGAACAGAGACAGATGGAGAAATTGATATAACAACAGTTGATCTTATAGAACAGAGACAG